AATGGTTGAGTACACAAACATTTATTCTTACACTTTGTTACATGTCATACTGACAGTATGAAACATCCAAATCTGGGCTTGTACTGGTTTGGTGAGCTGATGTTGAAGTTTTCAGTCATTCTGTGAAGTCTGACAGAGGGAGAAGCCTTCAGCATTTTCAGACACCATCACGACATCTTCATGATCACAGATGTAGCAAAATAAAAAAGCTGGGACATGGCTTTTTGCACCATTGCCACCACCTTCTGCCAGTCATGGGGCATCACATCCTACCAGTCACAAATAAGAAGGCAGCAACTATACTCTGTATTTTCAAATAAAGATAATACTGTATTTGATTTTTTTAATACTTTAATGACTATTTGAAAATTCAAAAATGTATTGTACCAGAACCAGAGGACAGTCCACTGAAGCACTCAGTTGGTCATGTTCTTGTCTTGAGCCACTAATCAGTGAGTTAGTACTGCCACATTTTTTAGTGTATGTGTGGCATTGGCACAAACAAAATATTACGTCCAGCTCTTACTTTAAATACAATGACATTATGACAACATTTTTTTAAATTATTAAATTAAATACAGTGACATGTAAATAATAAATATGAAAGTCAGCACATCAGTGAGAGGATCATTTCATACATGTAAGTTTGTGTCATATATTTGAATGTGGGTGCAATATGTCTTCCGTCTTGCAGTGTATTATGCACAAAAACCATCTCACAGTAAAGTTGTCAAACATATCATTTTCAGTCATGGGAGAGTATTTACACTAAAACATTAAAAAGAACAGATGTGGGTAACCTAATTTGTTAAACACAAAGTAATATTTAGTTATATGATACAAGGTAACACATTATGTTTAACATTTAAAAAGTTTTAAAAATAAACAAGGAGATATGATACAATTTCCATTTACTCATGGTAACACAGAGCATAAAAGCAATAAATAGTATGTATAACGTATCTTTTTGTACTCTGTGTTGGTGGAAACTTTATGAATGAGGAAATGACATAAAGCATCACTCAGCTTTTTTCAAATGCAGAAGGAGGGGAGAGCTCAGAGGTTGTTGAAGAAAAATTGCCAACGAGGGACTAAGTTGTTCAAAGTTTAAGTAAACTCTCTCTCTGGAACTTGGAGTTTACCTCATCCAAGGGTTGACAAACCCACAGTAGTATCTTCCTACCCAGACACATAAAAGCCCTTAAACAGGGCCCAGAGCTCTGGTGCTATTGTATCCCTGTTTTTACTAAAACACTTTCCCATTCACGTCAAAGAATTCTTCATGCAATGAGGAACCAGCAGGTCGCAGACCACAAAAGCATCTTATCTGTGTTTCACCACTGTGGCATGGTAGCTGCTACAGGATGCCTACTTTTCATTGCAAACATTTCAGTTTTTAATGCTGATGAATTATATGAAAATAATACTACACTGTCATATTCATATTCCCCTGTATACTCTATCTTAATGCCATTTATGATTCTAATTTTAGATTCTCCGTTGAGGCAAAAACGCACCACTGTCTACTGTGAAAATGCATTAAAAATATGAGAAAAACAACATTAAATGAAAAACTGTCTCTCTACTCATACGTACACTAAATTTGGTTAAAAATTTATATTTTTTAACAATTGATAGGTGTGCAAGAGGCAGACTAAAGTCACTATGACAGAGCAACACCTCAAAAACCACATAAAGCAGAAGCTGTGTGTAACTTTAAGAAAATACAAGAGACTGTGTCATTAGTGAGCACGAGAACGAGAAAGAGATGGCTGAATTCGGGAGCGTTAAAATGACTGTATTTCTGCTTCTGATGCTTCAGTTTACAAGTAAGGACAAGTTTTGCTGGCAACTTTGTTTGACTCAATGAGACTACATTTGAGACCAACTTGTTTCGTATCAAAAATAATCCTCAAACTAAATTTGCGCCAAGTCACATTTGTGATCTTTATCTGTCATATTTCTCTTTTTTTTCTCAGCACCAACACTTCATCTACTTCAATCTGTCTCTATTGTCATAGTTGGTGATGACCTCACTTTGCCTTGTGAAAATGTGACACATGGTCAGGATGACTGTAACAGTACTACCTGGGCCTTCAGTGGTTCAACAGACACGGCAGTAGTGGAGTTGGCCACTCATGGGCAGATTCACAAAGATGTTAGAGCTAAGTCAGCCAGGCTGAGTGTTAGTGAAGACTGTTCTCTGGTTGTAAACAAGGTCACAGTTGAGGATGCTGGCCGTTACACGTGCAGACAAATCAAATCAGGAAATGAAGTTTCAGAGTTTGATGTCTATCTTTCCGTTATTAACAGTGAGTATTTCATTCATAATTTTTTCAGCTCAAACTGTGCGTGAAACATTAAAATATTCAATACTGTGATTAAACTATTTTTTCTCTCATCTTTTGTCTTCACCAGCGACTCAACATGACAACCCGGGGTAGCGGTCACGTCCGGTTGAGGGCTCTGTTGGCTCTCAGGTGACTGTTTCCTCGTGGCTGCGTGCAGCGGGGCTAGGGGAGGGTCTGTGCTGACGGACGTGGGTTACTGACCTGGCAACCTGGCTGCCCCTGGGTGGGTCCGGGATGGGCGTGAGGTTCTGGGGGCGCTCCGTCTCTGGGCTGGGGCCCGGGCCGGGCCTCGGGGGCTCGGGTCCTGGTTGGTGTGTTGCCGGGGTTGTGGGCGGGTGGGTGCATGGGGGCCCGGCCCTGGAGCAGGGTGCCGCCGGTGCATCGAGCCGCCTGGGGGGCTCTTCAACTGGTGGGGGGATGGTCACATCTTGCAGGAGCTTTCTTCTCTCAGGAACTCTCTGCAGGAGGGGGAGATACAGGAGAGGTGGAGGAAGATCTCAGCCTGGGCGTTTACCGTCTTATGTAGTCTGGAAGATGTGTGGTTGGTGGGGTGGGTGCAGTTTTCTCTGTGGTGGGGTTGGGTGGACTGTCCAGGGCTCTGTGGAGCCGGGGGGCGCTACTGCACTGGGCCCCGGTCTGATGGGCCTGGGCCCCCCTTCCCTGGCGGGTCGCGGAGGGTGGGAGTGCCTACTGGGGTCAGCGGGGGAGCTGGCCCCAGGGAGGGGTTACCTGCCCCTCCCTTCCTTCCCTCCCCATCTCCAGCTGCCTCTCTCTTCCCGCTCCTCCACAACCACCCACACATGCAGGGCCTTGGAGTGGGGGTATGTCACCAGGGTGCAGAGGAGGCTACCCCCCCCCGTCCCCTTCTGGCTGCCTCTGCCTCAATTTTATCCCACAACTCAGACATTCACATTATTCACACTCTCATTACACATACATATAGGATCTTGGGGGTGGGCACAATCACGGAGTCCAAATCACCATCAGGGTGTATACCTCACCCCTGACGTCGTTGCCCACCTCTCAATTTTAAATACACTTAGTCATTGAGGGTTAGCAGGAGGGACTATGCGCTTACCTGCTGCTCCTTGGCAGGTAGCTCCATGCCCTCCTGGGTTTTAATTGCACCTTAGAACACATATGCATCAACACTACAATGAGCGGGTGGAGGGAGGTTTGGAGTCTTCTCCCACCCCCATTCTCTGCGGCCTGCTGGAGCGGGAGGGCTAGTAGGAGGAGTTGGCCGTCCGACTGCGGTCTGGGGTGTGGGGCCTCCCTGCTGCTGTGGAGTCGGGGTGGTCTGCCTCTCCCCACCGCAGGGAAAAGGGTAACACCACCTGGGTCTGGGTGCAATTCCCCCCTCCAGGGGCAAGGGTACCTAGACCCGGTTTGTAGAGTACGCTTGGGGAGTGTGATTGTGTGTACAGCGTCTCTTTATGTCTGTCTCCACGTTGGTTGAGTGTGGAGTGAGTGCATATGAGAGCATGAGGGTGGGAATGGATGTTTGTGTCTGTGTGTGCCTGTATGTCTGTGTCTATATGTCAGGTTGGGTATCAGACGCCACCTCTCTGGGGACACCTCAGGCCCTCCAAGGTTTGGAGGCCTATCTCCACCCACCACCACTTCCCCTGCCGGTGGCGGACTCCCTCAGGTGTCGGTGTGTTGGTGGTTCTTTGTGTCTGGGGGTGGCGTCCGGGTACACACCGGCTCACTCCTTGGCGGCCGCTTGTCGGGGCCTGGGGCCTGGGGCTTGCTCGGGCCCCTTTGGAGGTGGGGTGCCCCCGGCCTCTCGGCCTAGGGCTCGGTCACTCAGGCGCAGCTGGGGGCCGGCGGAGCTCACGGGCGCGTCACTGCAACTCCCCCTGACTTCTGCTCCGCGGCTGCTGGGCGAGCCCTCATCTGGGACTCTCCTCAGCTCTTACTGGGACAGTGGCGCGGCTGCCCCTCTGTTGGTCTTCCATGGTCTCTTGTGTTCTGGGGGCCTCTGGATGTCTGGAGTTTTGATCTCCTCCATACCCGCTTCACACCCTGGAGGACGGGGCTGTGGCCCCCCCACACTCCCTAGCAGATCATTACATGGAGAAACCTTTGGAATGCAAGCATGCTGATCCACACAGGTATGCACACATGGGTATTCACAGACGCGGACTAAAGCTTTCTTGGCTGCTGCCTCAAAGCACACTGTGCGCTGTCTATCTTGCGTGCTGCACAATATCGTTTATTACTTAGTAAATACTGATATCTATGACTAGCTAGTTTATTGTGATGGTGCTTTGTTTTCTCTATTATTATGTTGCTCTTTGTTGTTTGCTGTCTCCTCTGTTTGTTTTTGTTTGTTTGTTTGTTTTTTTTTTTCTCCATACAGGTGACCCAGGAATTTTTTTTTTTTTTTTTTTCTCTCTCTTCCCCCCCTTCTCACCGTCTCTTCTCCCCTTTGGTTTTCTTTCTTTCTCTCCCCCTCTCTCTCTCATTCATTCCCCCTGTCCTATTTATTAAAAAAAAAAAAAAAAAAAAAAAAAAAAAGTTTGTTGAATTCATGTCACTGTGGTTTCAAAATGTACATAGTCATTTTCATTATTTAGAAATCATTTTATTAAATATCCATTCTACTTAAAAAAAACCCAAAAAAACCAAAAAAAAAAAAACATGACAACGGTAACAAAGCCATCTTGAGCTGCTCCTTGTTGGCATATAAACCCTGTACATACACAGTAGAGTGGCTCTACGAGGGTGAAGAGAACATCTATACAGACATGAAGATATTACCAGGTTCCTGCTCTTCAGCAGTGACATTTAAATCTCAACTTAATCAGAAGTCAAAGATTTATGAGTCTCTGAAGTGCAATGTGACAGATGAGTCCAGTAACAAAGTGAAGCTGTTTCCCTTCAGCTCTCAGTCGTCAGGTGAGAAAACAAGCTGCTATTACCTCAAAGTAAAGAGTATCATTAAAAAAAGCTTCATCTGTAAATCTTTTTAAGTTTAAACAGCCATTTCAGCCATAATATTCTGCATGTTTTTGCCATTGATTGGGGAAAAGGAACATAAGACACATTTTCATTGTACAGATTTGATTTGGCTGCTGTTTTGTGTTTTCAGGTGAGAATGCAATGACAACAAAAAAATCCACAACAGCAAAAAAGTTAATAGTGACACCAAATCCAGCACCGGAGGCAGAATAATTAAAAAACAGTAATGAAAACAGGATCACTCATGATAATTAGATTTTGCAATAGGCTACATCAGAAGGGAAATACAAAAAAAGTGCTAAAATTGTACTCATCACCACTATGATTTAAAAAAAATAACTATGTGTCAGTAAGAATAAATATTAATCCTTAGATTTTTTAAAAGTAAGTTCAACATGGATTAATTTTCTTTCCAGGTTGGTCATGGGAGCATATTATATTTCCTGCTTTAGTAGCAGTCTTAGTTGCTGCTGTGGTGATGATCACAAGGAAGAAAACTAGAGGTGAGAACAGGACAAATGTAAATCAGCGTTTTAACTGTTAAATTTAATGTGTTTTGCTGACTCATGACATGATGAAGTTCAAGTTATGTGGACAAGTCTTAGATTATTAAATTAGACAACCAGTCTTTACCAGTTTAATCAGTTGAGACAACACCGTTTTCTATAATAACTATAAGAACACAGACTCAGAACTAGAAGCGCAACTCAATTTTTTCCTCTTTGCAGGGAACATGGAAATGGATGGACAGAACAATGTGAGTTTCATCCATTGATCATTCTGATTCTTCAATAAAAAACTGAGTTTTGGTGATTGTCTGTTAAGTTCTCTACACCTGTATGACCCTAGGAAAATAAAAATTTTTAATATAGTGAAAGTAAAACTTTACAGAAAAAGTTGATTTAATGTGGAGAATCTAAAAATGAACAAACCGGGCCTGTAGTTGTCTGTGTCACTTTGTGACTAGTTGAAAAGGAGTGTGTTAATTTCAGTCATATTTCACATGGAAGATGTTGACTTGTCTACAAGCAGTCACCATTTACTCTCTGACATGTAGTGAAACTTTAAAAGTGCGATGGAAACTGCCATCAGAGAGTGTCCACCTTCAAATGAAAAGTTGTGCCTTATAACTATAAAGTACACATTTCAAAAGGTGCAGCTTTTACTTCGACAGAGAACATTCTCTGCTCCCGGTTTGTGTGCTCTTTTCATATTTTTACCACCACTTGCAAGTGTAGTTTGCAAGTGCTAGCTAATTGTTGTCTTCTATCCAAATTGCTCATGGGAGCAGGAACCTACTAGTGACCAAAGCAATTGTAAGAAGGTTTTTGGTGCAGTACTATATACCACTTTATGAAAAACGTCATATTATCCGATGCCAGCAACTCCTAACAACCACTCTCCAACCATTCACGAAATGCATATATTCAAGTTTCAGCAGAATACCTACACTTAATTTTATAAGCTGTGTGCAGGGACCGAGTTTAAACACGGCAGAGACTCACATTCTCTGAACTGTGTCTATGTGCAAAATACTTTAATACTTAAATCAAGGTTTGGATTAATGTGTTAGCAATCATTATGTGATCGTCCTTATGTAGACTGAACCTGAAGATGACATTTCCTTGGCTTCCATCAGCTACACCAAGAACACCAGAGAAGAAGGCACAGTAAGCTTTGTGATGGGTTACAGTGAGGATGTTAATATCAGTTCTGTTATTATTGTTGTTGTTATTATTATTATTGTTTAAGTATTATTAAGTATAGAATTATTTCTTCTTCTAAGCTCTAGGTGGTGATGATAAAGGTGACAGTGTGACCTACAGCTGTGAAAGCCTTCTCGTCTTCTTCTGGAGTTTAATCCTAGCAACGTCTCCTCCACAGTCAACAAATCAAAGAAATAAATCCAGTCATGTTCACTCAACATATTTAAAAATGCTTTGAATGTTGCCTGATTGTTCAGTTACCGATGATCTAGATCTAAATTAAAGGGGCTAGTGCTATTATTAAGTAGTAAAACAATGATTTTTAACAACCTGACAATTGTCTTTACTTATCTCAGTGTTATATTATGTAATCTTTCTTTAATGCAACTTTTAAAGGATAATTCTGTTTTTTTTCTACACTGAATAATGAAAACACATCCTGCTTTAGTGTTGATAGAGCAAAGCAGTTGCAAATCACCTCCATCATCCATAAAGCCACAGAGCAGAGACTCCCTCTAGAGGTAGAGAATGTGAATATATTGGCTCCTCAGCATTAGGAAATAAAATTATGGCTTTCAATATATTTTTGTGTTATTTACATCTACAACAATAAAAACTAAATAGGTCTCAGAAAAGAAAAAAACATCTTGTTTCATGTTTCTTGTTTGGCATGCTTTGAACATAACCACTATTAAACAATCAAAAAGTAACTGTTTATTTCACTGCTTTGTTGGGTCTCTATCTCCATCTTAGCCATCTCTTCCTTGTTGAGGCGAGGGATTCTGGTTTTGTGGCACAAATATAATGGTGTACAGTAAGAGTTGAGCGAGCACGGGCAGAAATGTTGAGAGCGCGAGCAACACATTGCGAGCGAACGCAAGTGCAAAAACTGAGCGAGAGGGGCTGCTATTGTGTGTGTGTGTGGATAATAGCAAACACTGAAATACATTTTTTGCACGCAGCAATGAATTTTGTTCACTCAAATTTAGCTTTTCTTCGCTCAAAATAAATTTCTCCTGAAAATGCAACACTTGCACCTGCAAATTTTTTTTACGTGCGCTCAATTTTTTTTTTACGTGCGCTCAGAATAGTGACACAAAAACAACGCCATAACAGCCCTGTAACTAGTGGGAAACAGACAAATTCTGCCCCCTGGTGGGAAAAGGTAAAATCTGCATTCCACAATAAAAAGCAAGTGTATAATCACTGGATATTGTACTCTTAGAAGCTTCAATGTCAAAGCATCCTACACTTACAAACCGGGCTAAGATGCAAAACAAAAAAACAAGCAAAAGGAACAAAGTTAAGTTATATGTAAAATAAGGCTGGCAATCAGATTGGCAACCTGTCCAGGTTGGATCTCACCTCTTGCCCTCTGGTAGCTGAGATAGCCTCCAGCAGCACTGTGACCCTGAGAAGGAAGATAATGGATGGCTATAAGTTAGATTTCTACATAATGTTTATTTTAACAAACCATCTGACAGCAACATAAACAGACAAACAGGTCTGTCTCAGTTTAGTGATCATAAGTTTCTAGTGTTTCTCGGGGCCCCTCTCACGGGGGGGGGGGGGGGGGGGCTAAACCTCCTCCCTCACAGAGAGAATTATGACCTTGTTTTCTGCCTGGCCGTCACCTAAGGATTTACATCCCTGATAAACAGAAGGAGTCTCACTAACTGTTTAACGTCTCCCATTACAATGGCCTCACTGTGTTAACATTCCCCATGCATGCAAACTAGTGACAGGAGTGCTCTTACTATAGTAAAGAGAGAAAGTGATATTACTATAACTAATGTGATTTGATTAAATATGTGATTAATAAATGAGAAAAGAAATCTGCCACCACAACATTCTCTAGTCAAGAAGGTGAAGGTGGAGGGAGAGCTCCAAAAGAAGAGACTAAAGTCACTATCAGGAAGTGACACCTCATAGTGACTAATTTATGTCAGAGGTAAACACCCCTTAAAGCTCCCAGGCCTCTGGTGTGTAGAGAACCTTTTTATTATATTAAACCCTCTTTATTGTAAAGACATTTTTCCTGCTCCAGCTTTGATCCTCGGAACAAAATTCCTAACTTTCCCCGCATTCAAGTTGGCCCCCTGAAGTGTTCTTCTGCTCTGCCTGCCCCCCTCCAGGTCAATTCAGTGCAGTTGAGTTGTATTTATATGGCACCAAATCACAACAACAGTTGCCTCAAAGTGCTTTATATTGCAACGTAAAACCCTTCAAATGCCCTGAACTTCCTAACCCCCAGATCTGTCACCTGCTCCGTCTCCTGGTATTTGACTTGCATTTTTTTTTCTTTTTTTTTTTTTTTCCGCCTGTCCCATTTGGTTTTTTAGCCATCAGAATTGTTGTCTGAAGACCAACAAGGATACCCAATGGATTTACTTTGCCAAATGGATTATCGTGGCATTGCCGTATTGGTCCATTTGATCGACCTTTGTTTTTATCATTTATTATTATTTATTATATTTTATTTTCAGATGTTACAGACGGGACAGACATGAGTGAGGGATAGGAAAGGGAGAGAGAAAGAGGAAGGAAAAGAAAAACAGAAGGGGAGAGGGACAGTGAGAAAGGGGGGGAGAAAAAATAAAAACTCCTGGATCACCTGTTGAGAGAAGAAGAATAGAAAACAAGCAAAAAAAAAACCAAAGCAACATACTAAACACAACACCATCGCATTAATCTAGCTAAGTGTAAACAGCAGTAAATACTAAATATTCAATGTTGTTGTGCAGCACGCAGGACAGACAGCGCACAATGTGCTTTGAAGTAGCAGCCAAGAAAGGTGTAATTTAAGTCTACGAGCAGTGAACACCCGTGTGCATACCTGTGTGGATCAGCGCGCTTGTATTCCAATGGTTTCCACATGTAATGGTCTGCAAGAGGATGTAGCAAGCCATAGCCCCGTCCCCCAGGGCGTGAAGCAGGCATGGAGGAGATCCAGGCCCCAGACATCCAGAGGCCCCAGAGTGCGAGAGCCCAAGGAGGACCACCGGAGGGGCATCCGTGCCACCCTCATGGGAAGGGCTGAGGATCCCCAGACGAGGCGTCACCCAGTAGCCACTGAGCAGAAGCTAGAGGGGGCTGCACCAGCATGCCCGCCCAGCTGTGCCAGAGTGAACCGAGCCGCAGGCCCAGAGGCCGGAGGCCCGAGGGCCCCCCGCACCCCGGAAGAGGCCTGACCGAGCAACAGGCGCCAGGCCCCGCCAGGTAGCCACCGGGAGTGAGCCGGTACATACCTGAGTGCCCAGCCCCAGACACCAAGAACCACCAATGCACCGACCCCTGAGGGCATCAGTCACCGGCAGGGAGTGTGGTGAGGGGAGATAGGCCTTGGAGGGCCTGGGAGTTCCCAGAGAGGTGGAGTCTAAGACCCGACCTGACATATAGACACAGACAAACAGGCACACACAGACACAAACATGCATTCCCACCCTCATGCACACATATACAAACACTCAGCACTCACCCAACGTAAGGATTGACATAAATGGACATGTACACACAATCACACTCCCCAAACATACTCTATACCCCAGGTCCAGGTACCCTCGCCCCCAGAGGGGGAAACAGAACCCAGACCCAAGAGATGTTACCTTTCCCCCCGGGGTGGAGGCAAGCAGACCGTCCCAGGCTCCGCAGCAGCAGGGAGGCCAATCGGACAGCCAACATCTCCTCCCAGCCCCCCCGCCCCGATGGCTAGCAGAGAACGGGGGTGTGTGAAGACCCCATACCTCCCTCCTCCTGCTCATGTGTAGTGTTGCTGCGTGTTGTTCTAAAGTGCATTTAAAACAAGGGAGAGCATGGTGCTGCTGCCAGAGAGCAGCAGGTGTTAGCATTTGTCTTGCATTTGACCTTATTTGCTTATTGATTTTTATTTTGTCTTGAAGAAATAATTTTTGCAAAAGTTTACTTTCACAACAAAATAAACGGACATAGTATGATGGGAAAATTGTAATTTTATCATGATGTTTATCTCAATAAATGCTCTTGTAGCCACATTCTCAACAAAACACCTATTTTGGTACGCAGAGAAAATGACATCAGACTTCTAAAGAGGTTTCAGACTACTGACACTTGTTCTGATGGCATCATTGTTTTGCATCAATGATATTAGGAGTTAAATTTAGGTGGCAGAATAAATGAACTCTTTATGTCAGTTAATATGCATTCTCAAACATCACACTGAAACCTGGTTGTTTTTTTTTCTAATAATCACAAAATAAAGAGAAATAAAAGAGAGCTGCATTTCTCATTACACTTATCTCAACTGACAATCTTCACACATTTGACTTCCTATAATCTATTGTTGGCCAAGATGTGACAGAGGAGAATGAAGTCACTAGCAGGAAGTGACACCTCGCAAACCCCACACAGCACAAGTATTTATCTTTAACAAGTCAAATCTTTAGATGCAGTGTCATTAGTGTGTATGAGTACAGAAGAAGCACCATGGTACTATTCAGATGGATTGAAGTGTTTTTATTCTCTCTACTAATACTTCAGTGTAAAGGTAAGGACACATATTAAAATACAAATATTGCATCAACATGTGATTTCATTAAGTAATATGACTTTACCTATGAAGGAGTATTATGGCCACATTAAGGAAAAAATATTGATGATTTTGATAAAAAGGAATTTCCAGATTCAAGTCGATAATCGATTTTTGTCAAAAAGTGGAGATTACGGTTGTTGTTTGAAGACAAACTGCCACGGATGCTATACTCTGTGCAAAAAGCCTTGTTTAGATGAGTTAGTGAAACAAACCGATCAGCTGTCTTGTGATGCAACATAAATACTCTTTATTGAACGAGTCTGTAACCACTGATAACCTTGCATCTATCCACTCCCATCTGTTTCATTTTGTACAAATCCACTCTTCCACATATGTGTGGTTTTTCCATCTTACAGATTGCAGCTTTCTGCACCATTTTTTCAACGTTCTTATACTTATCGCCACGCAGTGTTTACGTGTTAGAGCTGAGATAACAGAGAAATTATGATGAACTACCTCAACTTGATGTATATAATTGCTCGACGTATTTGATTTACAATATGATTTTTTGGTTATTGAAAATGTTTTTTCCCCCATCTTAAAAATATAAAGTAATAATTTGCCAGTTAAATAATGCACCACCTTTTGGCTACTGTAGCTGTAACATTAATATGTAATTGTAATCATAGATCTGACACACTGGTATGTTTGTATACTTGGGGAGTGTTTATCAAGGCACTACACACATATGGCTGGATGTTTCTGTAAACAGTTCAATAACTTCCCAGTCAGTTATCAGT